ATGGGAACAGACTTTTAGTAGGGCCTGTTATGATGGGACAAAGGGTAATGGTTTTAAACTAAAGAAGGGTGGATTAAGACTAGATATAAGGAAGAAATTTTTTACAATGAGGGTGGTGAAACACTGGAACAGGTTGCCCAGAGAGGTGGTAGATGCCCCATCCCTGGAAACATTCAAGGTCAGGTTGGACGGGGCTCTGAGCAATCTGATCTAGTTGAAGATGTCCCTGCTTATTGTAGAGGGGTTGGACTAGATGACCTTTAAAGATCCCTTCCAACCCAAATCATTAAAAAAAAAAAAAAAAAAAGGAGTCCTGCAGCAGTCTGTAGAGGAGAGCGTTAGGTGGCCTATGTGTAGGGTCGCTACCAGCACTGTCAGAAAATCAGCACATTGCATTTTGACTAAAAATAACATCTTCGTGGGCAGTATCTGCCCTTTGGCAAGTGCAGAGCAGGACTGTTGCCCTCCTCCTCTTACAAGGACAACAGGGTTGCAGGCACTTCTGTGGCAGGACTAAAGTGGCAGGTGAGCCCCCTTGTCACCTGGAGCGTCCCACTACAGATGCCACATCCACAACACTCATCAGACTCCTTCTCCCTGCCCTCACCACGAGTCATACCATTCAGAGAGGTTACTCATCCGGGCTCTGCGCGGTGGCTCGTTCATTTGGCTGTCATTAGCCTTCCAGGAACAGAGAAATGTTCTTACTGAAAAGCGCGCAAGCTCATTAAATGTCAGCGCTGCCCTCCACATTGGTCTCCTTTGATCAGAAAAGTAAATTTATGCTTGTGAGAGAAATGAGACTCAGCAGGCTGCCCCCAGTCCACCTCTCTGCCTTTAAAATGCTGTGGAAAATACTCTCATCTAAGGTGTTTCCCACTTACAGGGCATAATTATGAGTTGTGTTCCTTTGTAACCAAAATCTTTGATCCTGACAGAATTCAGTCTTTAGTTTAACACAGTTTTAATTGTTTGGCTCATTTTTATCTCTACAGTCCTTTGAGTCCTACCTCCACTGGCAGATAACATGCTGACTAAAAACATTTAATGTTATCTTACAGATTCCCTGAAGGCTGAAAATCCTTGCAGTTGAGTTGGGTGTCAGATAAACTCTCTGCAGGGTGAGATTTAATGTGGCTTCAGGGGTTGTCCGTGCATCAGGGACTTGGCAGCGCAGGGGAGATGCCCTGCCTGACGTGGTCTCCTACAGCAAAACACAGTAGTTTATTGGGGCAGTCGTGGTGTGCCAGGGCATTGCCAGAACTACTGATCAGAGGTTGGACCACAATTTCTTAGGCTGTTACAAATGGGTTTTGCTGGCAACGTGTTATGTTCTCCAAGCCCCGATGACTTGCTTTGGTGGCTTTGTCCCATCTTAGTTTTTATTAACGACAAAAGAAGGTTCTAACAGATAGCTGTATGGTTAACAGAGGGGCAAGTTATCGTCTGTGTTTGTGCAACTCCTTGAAAGTGGTGGCCTTATAATTAGAAATCCTGGTATTGTACAGTGCTCCTGGGGCTGTGCAGGTTTCTGTTTATTCAAACAGGCTTCTGCACAGTGCAGGCAACTTGGCAAAATAACACAGCTGCTCTTCCTAGAATCATCTTGTAAAGGAATGCATAAATCACTTGTAAACAAGTCCTCGAAGGAATAGTATCAATTTGACGTAAACACTTGTTTAATGGTAATAAATAGCCATGTAATGGTCACATAGATGGCTTTCAATGTTATTTTAAGGTAATGCGAACACAGGTTTCAGCTGTCGCATCTGCACTCCGAAAGAATAGACCTTGATCCAATAATAAGGTGTGTGCAGCAGTCTGCTTGTTTATGCGTCTTTGCTACCCTGCAGTGGTGATCACTGCCAGCAAGTTTTTCTTGCATGTAAAAGGGGGGAAATCTTAGTGAAGTTATGGTAGCAAATCCGTGTCTGTTAAGCGAACAGTGTTTTCATATTGCAGTTAAAATATTTGTAAGGGAAGGTATTTGGTCTCAAAAATGTGAAGTCTGAAACTTAAGGCATTTAAAAGATGGCAACTAAAGCCAAACACATCGAAAACAAAAATCCAAAATGCTTGGGATGTCTGGAAATTCCTCACTTACAGCTCTCGAACCAGGCAAGGTCTCTTCAGAGCTCAGGATGTACGTAAGACTTTTGTGAGCCTGAGCATTTCCAAATACCCGCCACAAGCAACTTATGTGGCGCTTGGTTTCATTTTTTTCCCCATAGCTGCTGATTTTTCGTAGGCCGTAGCTGGACCATACCCCCTTCTCTTAGTCTTATTACTAGAGTCCAGCTAGGAGTCTTCAATTTGCTTTTGAAACATTAAGCTAGGAGGAAACCATTCTAAAGCAAGGCTTGGCACATACACGTATGAGCTAAAAAGCATCAGCTTTTTTCCAGGAGCAAGATTCCAACTGGAACTCAGCATCTTTGTGAACTTGCAGTGCAGCAAAAGGGAACATGCCAAAAGGCTCTTGCAGATTGTGGCCAAGGTGACTGGGGGTCAGGCTAAAGCTAGGAAACCTCAGGTCATCTTCTGTAATAGACAGCACCTTCCTGGATTATTGCTTTGTGATTTTTTCCTGCAAGTCACGAGCAATTGGGTGAAACACTGTCCCTCCCCAGGTGCCTGCGTCGCACATGCTGGCAGGGCAGTGCTGCAGCCGGTGACAGCAGATGCAGGAAGGGTTCAGGTGGCAACACGCTCTGTGTGCTGCCCCGCTGCCTCCTGTCTCTGCTGTGCCCTAATGCGTGCCATCGCATGTTGGGATGCAGTGAGATGGAGAGGTGCCTCCAGCTTCACTGTGTTTCTGCACAGTTCTGTCATGTGGAATTGTTTCCAAATCTCAGCTCCTGATAGTTTTGTGGGGTTTTTTTAAGTATTATTCATCAGGCTTCAGGTTGTAAAGCGGTTAAACAGAGGAACAACCCGTGCCTGTCACTGAGCAGCCTAGCTGTGGGCAGCTGCCCCTTTCATTGCAAGGGCTCATTAATGACAAAATCTAGTGCTGCTGAATTGGATACAGGTGAGGCACTTAACTGCAGGACAATGTTCATATCTCGTACAGAGCTGGAAGTCCAGCTATCCATCTGCCATACTCTCTGGTTCTCCCTGGATAAATTCGGTATGAAATTCTTTAATTCACTGGCTATTTACAATGAAAAAAGAAATTGGCAGTCCATGCTACATTAAACCCTGCTTGGGATATTTACAGACTTTAGTATAAACTGAAGTATTCCTGTGTGTAAAACCTGTGGTCTAGGAATATCCTCCTATCTTTTTACCAGTTAGAATCTTGCTGGTAATTATTTGCTTGTAAAGAGGAAAGGCACCGAAAAGAGACTTCAGGTGTAAGAGGCTGTTGGGAGCTCCAGCTTCGCTTGCCTGGTCTAATTCTAGTTAGCTACTCAGCATAGCTCTGCTAGGGATGCAAAGTCCCAAAGAAATCTGGAGATAGCAGGAGGGTCACAAAGTCGGACGGGGATATGGTTGCTCAGAGGACATGAAAAAAAAGAGGTGCAAAACCAGGGAGCGGAGAGTCTGGTATAGCAAGGATGGCAACCAGGCAAAGCCAGGCTTGTTCCCCACTCAGTATACCACTTTGACTTTTTCAGAAGAGCTCCAACTCTTAAACAGCCTGAAAACAAATAAACATGATCCTGGCACTTCCATCACCCATGCTAGAAAGCTATGCTATGCCGTGGTGACTAGCCAGTACAATGCAAAAATCTTCTCTGTAGGGAAGCTTTATTTAACTTTTGAAAAAATAAGGTCAGAAATTTAGGCCAATTAGTGTGAGCAAAGCTCAGCAGGTTCACATCTCCCTTATGCAACCAGATCTCTAATTACTATCTGCATATTTTAAACACTTTATGTAGTCCTTTGAAATACAGTTTTCCTCTAACTAAAATCTTGTATACTGTTTCTCAGATTTTTTAGCATTTAAGATCTGTATGTGTTTTCTGTCTTAATTTGTAATTCTCTCCCCACTTCATCTTCAATAAAATATTTGAGTAAATTTTCCCGTACGCTTACAGTTGCAGTTGGAAGTATGGGTTCTAAGTTCAGTAAATTGCCAGGGTTAGGAAATTGTAATGAGCTCTTTAATTATACAGATTAAGCACAAACTTTAGATATGTGTTTCATGGGTATGCAGTTTATTATATTTGTAGATCTGCTTTGTCCAAGGCATCTGTTTTATTCTTTGACAGCCGAGACATACACCTGTTAAACTGAAGTAGGGCTTGCTGTTTTGGAGTTACTACTGATTTTAATGCCTTAATTCATTTTGCTTGTTTCTAATGCGTCAATTTATTTTGTTTACACAGAGACTTTGCTTATGTGGCAAGAGACAAAGACACAAGAATTCTGAAATGTCATGTGTTTCGATGTGACACACCGGCAAAAGCCATCGCCACAAGTTTACACGAAATCTGCTCAAAGGCAAGTGGATTTAAAGTCAGCTGCATTCGTCTGTGTAGAGGTCCCTGAGCCTAATACATGCAATCAGCAATTGTATGCAGTGTTAGTTTAGTTTATATCACTGGCAACGAGAAACAGTGTAGAGAATTTGTAAAGGAAAGGCCGCGAATGGATGGGAGTAACGGGAGGGTGAGCATTTAGATTTGAGGAGGATGATATGTGCTTTTGATTTGGTAAGTGTGTATAGAGACTGCAGGTTTTCTTGAATAATAAAGCAGCTGCAGGTTCAAAATGGAAAAAGAACACACAGCTTCAATTAATAATAAATGGTGATGTTAAACTCCATAAATAAATCAGACCTTGTTTGAATGGTATTATTCAATGGTATTATCCTGCAGGACAGACAGGAAAATAGTTGCTAACGTTACTCTGCCCACTTAAAAAAAAATCAGGGAGAAGAGGGGGTTTAAGCTACTATAGTTATAAATACTAAAGGATCTTAGTTCCTGCTTGTGGTAGTGTTGTCTGTAATACTGGAGAGGACTGTTCTTTTCAGTCGTTTTACCTTACAGATTTGACACCATTCCCTGGTTATTAATTTTGGTTTTCTTCCATGATCAGTTCATGAGTGTCCTCTGTACGGTTATTTCATGCAATGGTAGCAAGGCAGCACATCCTTTACAGCAGGCAAATCTGATTGAAACACTTTATAGAGAGGCAGTTAAACCAATCTGCTTGAAACTCTCTTTTATTCTTTCATTGAGCTGTGGTGGATTTGAGGCTGAATCCCCCTTTTTAAAAATATTATGCTGCTCATTTTGGTTTTCTTTAAAACACATCGGTTTGCACCACAGGAAAAGTGGGCTGTGGGAATGAATAACCTTATCAGTTTATCAACTTGTCCCTCCTCGTGAGTCACAGCTCTTCTAGAAAAGCTAGTTAGGAAACCTTCAGGTTTTAAAATTCTACTGATTTACTGTATGCCTGTCATTTGCTTTTTACATTTTGTCTTCATGTTAGTGAATGGAATCAGCGATGTCAAATTCCTCTCTGTAGCCAGTTGTATAGTGTAAAAACTTTTCATTTTTGCAACACTGCAGATGTGGCTACTGAACTTGTGGTGTTTCATGCAGGCAGTGTGAGCATTTACACAGTGTGTATTACTGTAACCTTCTGGGCAGCAGAGTTTTGCCTGAGGCAGAGCCAGAAGGTAGCCCAGGAACTGTGGAAAGCCTGGCAGGTCTGTCCGGGCTTGGGTGCCTGAGGAAGTGCAGGTGGCAGGACTCAGGGCACTGCTCAGGTTGGCCAGGGAGCTGCAGGCTGTTCTTGGCTAAGTTTAACACCGAGGACTGCAGCAGTGGCTGACTGGAGAAGCCTAGACCTGTTACGTCCCTCCTCTTTCTCCTCCAACTCTCAATTCTCACAGACGTTTCCAGCAAGTTTAGCAGGGAAAAACATGCTACACAGGCCCTACCATAGCTGCTTTTATCCAGTAAGGTCAACATCAAGTAAACGCCACGGTAGCTATACACAGGGGTATTGGAAAGGGAGTAGAGCTGTCACATACGTAACTATGACAAGAAACTCCTGGCATTAATTTTCGATAAGAGAGCAACTAAGCGTTTAAAACCATAGGTAATAGTAACAAAGAATAAAACAGAATAGTGTTGTTAAGTAGAGCATGTTTTTTCGTAATTCAGCAACAGATACAATCCTGATCCAGGAAAGCACTTGGCATGTGCTAACTGACACACTGGCCCTCTTTGCTGAGTCAGGGCTTCTTCCTAAGCTAGTGTGTATCATTTTTCATCTGCAGGGGGGAATATTATCATGTGTCCTTGTAACAGAAAATACTTTCAGGATATAAAACCTAAAAAAAAAAAAGGGGGAGAAATTTGCTAGAAGCATCTTCAGACCAAGTGTCATCTGCTGGAATGCCAGTTATCTTTATAACTTCATTCCAATTAACAGTCACAGCGTAAAGAAGCAAATAGCAATGCTTCATATACGAGCTTCGGAAAACCTCTTTTAGCTTCCCTGGGTCCCTTCTCAGTCATATATTTGTAGGGAATATTCATCCAAAGTGGTTATTTTGAAGGGGGGGGGGTGTCCCTCTTTCGCTAATATTATACATTTTGGGGGTGGAACAGGTTGTATTTTGCATGGGATTTTTAATTCCAGAAGAAACATAAAAATGGAGGAAAAAATTACACACAGCAGAAGATAGATCAGAGAGAAACATGAATAATGAACACTCTTCACTATGTGTTAAATATTTATATTTCTTGCTGTATCACTCCTCACTGCAATTTTGCTGTTGATAAAAATGGCTAGAGGTTTTTTTCCACCTCCATCTATCTTTCATCTAGGCTTGGACACCACTTAAGTTCTTTACGTAGTTAAGGAATGGTGAATAAACTGGAGGGAAATTAAAGTTTAAAAAGAATAACCTGTTTAGTCATGTAGCTTCTGACTTCTTTCCGATTTCAGAAACTAGGGTTGTAATAGGAGTAAATTTATACTTGTAGTTGCTACTGTACTATATTTTCCAAAAAAATGCTGTATTATCACTATTATCTTCAGATTATGGCCGAACGGAAGAATGCTAAAGCTATGGCTTGCAGCTCATTGCAAGAGAGGACAAATGTCACCCTTGATGTTCCTCTGCAAGGTACTGTGTGTTACAGCTAGTATCCTTGGGATGGTCCTATTTTAGATATGTTTTGTTTCTGATGCTGCTTTTGACCAAAATGGAGCATATTGGGTGGAGATGGCAGGAGTGTAATCCTGTCTTTTAATTACTGTATCTGACTGTAACCTGTTACTGTATTACATTAAACATTTTAATTGGTTATGTTGTCAGTAATGGAGTCTTGCTCAGTTATGTCAACTTGTGCATTTCCTCTTTTATTTTGAAATACAAATGTTGCAAATGCAGCCTTACTTATTTGTGGCTACTTGCATGTATTGTCCTTTTCAAATCAAAATACCTCCTGACTTGAGACTGCACAAATTGGCCAAATCTTCCTTAAAAACAGAATATACTCCAGTTAATCACTTGGATTCAGAGGAGCTGTAAGAGGACTCCTCCTAGGTCTCACCATCTATTAGCAACTTCCAAGGCAAGAGGTGCAACTGGGTTGTCATCCAACTTAAGAATCTTTTGCACACTCTAGTGCATGGTAGAAGAAAGTTGCCTTTGCATGCCTTTATTAGTCATAGCTTAATAGTTGCTATTTTGAAAGTATTCCAGGAGAACAAACATACTTTGTGTTAGCTTTACAGGAAATTATGTGCTTCTAGATCCACCAGTATGTACTGAGTATCTTACTCCTAATCCATACATCAACTTGTGTAATTGTCTGCTCAGACAGTAGTATTGATTATTTGTAGACTGTATTTAACATATTAACAGGGATGGTATTAAAAACAGATTTGAGATTTTACATAGCTATGCAGTGAAACTTAGGTCTGTATGTCTCAGAGACATATTCATCTATATTTTCTCGTTTTTAATATGCCAGCAATATAACGTGACCTTATTCTTAGCATAGATCAAGAATTAGGTGATGCAAAGTTATCCCTAATTCCTTTAGAAATTATTGAGCATTGTTCTTGTCAGAAGACATAAAAATCTGTTTTAATCAATACAATACATTCAGAGTACAATTACTGGGTAAACTGGTTTATGTTATTGAGGAAATAAAAGTGGTTTTCCTTGCTGTGAATGCTGATTAAGAGAAATTGATTTTTGTTCCATGCAGTAGATTTCCCAACACCAAAGACAGAACTGGTACAGAAGTTCCACGTCCAGTACCTGGGCATGCTACCTGTAGCTAAACCTGTGGGTATGTAACACTTAAGTGACTTCCAAAGTACCTTGCATAAACTCTAAAGGCTGGACTCTGGCTAGCCAAGTGTAAATGCATGATTTTCAAAGGGTAGCAACTCTTGTACTTCAGTCATACAGGTCAGGCATGAAGACATCTAATATTCAGGGCCTCATGTCAACATGCGTTTTGCAACCAGAGTATTTTGGGAGCTGCCAAGAAGGCAGAGTTCTTTCTACTGCTTTCTCTGAATATGAGCTCTGCTACTAATGAGAAGGACCCTAGAGAACTGAAATGGTGCAGCAGTTAAACAAGATGCTATCCTGTTTTTTCTAAGCCAGAGGCACCTGTTTTGTTTTTGCAGATGAAGAAAACCAACTTCACAACCCTTCCTTCCATCATCAAATTAATTTTAATAAGGAGTCCAAAACAATCTGTTTTCTGTTCTATGTGAAAATAAAAATTTTATTGTTGTTTACTTATATTCATGTATTTATTTTTCATTATTGCATTTTCTTCTCTTTTAGGAATGGATACTCTCAACAGTGCCATTGAAAGTCTAATGGCTTCCTCTAGCAAAGAAGACTGGATGCCAGTTACTATGAATGTTGCTGATGCTACTGTCACAGTCATCAATGAAAGGGTAAGGCAGACTGTCTTGTTTAAAACGCATTTAACGTAATATAAGTGTTGAAAACCAGGAACACAGAAACACTAGGAGAAAGAGTTAATTTACACCAGAATTCATTTGCTTATTTTGCATTTTATTTCTTTCCAGAATCTGCAGAGGCTCTTACTGCTTGTATCAGCTTCAGCTTTACCATTCCAAGCATGTCCTCAGAAATAAATTATTATAAGTATTCATTAGATACTTAAAACAAATTCAGCGTTATCCTTTCTAGGAATTTTGAGCCTAAAACGTTGTAGGTTAAGCGCTAAGTAGCAATCCTAAATTCTGAACTGTATTTACCTTATTCTTGGTATGGAAGCCAAGAGTAATATTAAAACCTGTGTTTCACATCACTATCCTTCTGTAGAGCATTTTCCATAGAGATTAATACAATGAAACTTTCAAAGAATGTCTTCCGTATCTGTCTGTTGATGAGGTACTAAACCAACATCTCTATAACATACCAGTGATAGGGGAGCGTGTTTTGGAGTCATGATAGCCATGTTGTTTGGTTTCTGCACAAAACAAGCAGTTTTTAAAATGCACAGTATGCTCCGTGCTAACACTCAAAGCCTTCGTCTTCTGGTGATAGCCTAGAAGGGGAGATCCAGCCCAGGCCTGAGCACACTGGGTATATGCAGATAGAGAAAAAGGAATTCTGCAATACTGCATCAGCGCCCGCCCCCCCACCATTTAATGAACTTAAAATTGAAAGTGAAGTTCCACAGAATATCCAATAGTAGTGATCAATCATTTGATTCATAACCAGAATGAAGAGGAAATCATGGTGGAGTGTCGTGTGCGGTTCCTGTCCTTCATGGGAGTAGGCAAGGACGTTCACACATTCGCCTTCATTATGGATACAGGAAACCAGCATTTTGAGTGCCACGTTTTTTGGTGTGAACCAAATGCAGGCAACGTATCAGAAGCTGTTCAGGCTGCCTGTATGGTAAGTTACCTTCTTCAAAGGCACCTAATAGCACTTAGATTTTTCACTGCCTCCATAATCATCTTTCCAAATTTGCAATTATATTAATTTCAAGACAGAAAAAGGAAGAACAGATAAAAATAAGAATTGGGATTCTGATATATTTTATCAATTAAAACCCAAACATTTTTACATTTGAAATTTAGTGAACAATGCCCCTTTAATCTTCTTCCCTCCTAGCCTCTGCAACATCTGTGTAAGTTAGAAATCTTCTCTTTTGCTACACAAGTTATCTAATGCTGGAAAAACATTTTGCTTGGAGTTGTGTTATATACTCCAGTGACAATGTAGTGAAAATAATCCTTGTTGAAGAATAGCTGAACCCAGAAAACTTAATTTTCAGTTTTCAAAGGGCTGTTCGTATGATTAGTATCCGTCATGTGCTAATGAACAGTTTCTGCCCACAGATTGACAGACCAATGTCCCATTAACTTCAGCTGGGCTGTTTGTCACAACCAAAATGGAGGTTTGACTATATTTAATGAGAAAGTGTATTTTAAATGCTCTGTGAAAGTATTGGATACAGTAAGGATTGCAGAATGCTTTTGCTTTGTTGCAGTTACGGTATCAGAAGTGCTTAGTAGCCAGACCTCCTTCACAAAAAGTTCGACCACCGCCCCCTCCTGCAGACTCGGTGACTAGAAGAGTTACAACTAACGTAAAAAGAGGAGTGTTGTCCCTCATTGACACTTTGAAACAGAAACGCCCGGTCACCGAGATGCCATAGCTGCATAAGAGAGAAGATTCTCCTAACATTTAACTGAAGATAACAGTAGCTACACTAAGGAAAATGAACTGACGATGTCTGGCCTTCCATTTCAAATTGCTAATGCTTTGTCTTCAGAGAACTTACCTTTATCGAAACAATGTTAGACAAGCATGTTCTCTCGTTCTTGCCACCATCGTGTGATATGAAAAGAAGCATGAATAATTTTTTTGCTGTCAGTGAGTTACATCATGAGCAATGGAAGGTCTGTTTGATTGTAAATACATGAACATTACCTAAACTCACACAAAAAAAGAATATGGCCACGTCCCTCCCAGTGAACTCATGCTAAAGTCCTTGGAGTGAATGATGCCCAAGTTGATAGTTTCACCGTCTCGAGCTGGATTTGTCACAAACCAATCTTAAATCCTACAGCACTTTGTTTTGTTTTCAACACTGGAGTAGGTACCAAGTATTAGCTACCATTGAATTACTGTAGATTAAATACCAACTTTTATTTTTTACAGAACTACACCTGTTAAATTGTTTGTCAGCATTGGTCAGGCAACCACTTTAACATCTCCCTGACATGCTTTTGAATCATGGTGTCATTATTTCATCTTCTGGTTATAAATTATGGTCTTAGAGAAGAACCGTGTTTAATACCAAACCAATGCTGAAAAATCCAGAAGTGTTTTCAGTAATTGAGTTGCAGGGTGATCCACTGAAGCTTTTCAGCTTTAAACATACAAATGCAACTGTTGGCTGTTAAATTTATTCTCCTAAATCTGTCATTAATTCATCAAAAATACCATTTGTTTCACAGGGCTCAAACCAATCAGGAGTAAGAAAGAACTAGTGAGTAATTTTATTGTCTTACAACTCTTATAGAGACTAAAATATTCCATACAAGTGTTTGATGAAATGTTCAATTCAGCGTCTGGTTGCACAATTCCCCCTTCCCATCAGAGTTTGTTGCTGAATACTTAACATGCCACAAAAAGAACAATCACATTTCTTGCTATTTACAAAATTCCATGACATTTCCTTTACTTTTAATGTTCTTGTGACAAAATAAGAGAGTTGTTTTCTAACAGAACAGTGCTTCAGGTGGTACCACTTGATTTCAATGCTTTTGCTCCAAAGGCCTCATCTAATTGCTTTGATTTACACACTACTGCAGACCCTGACAAAGTCAGCCTAGTATTGCCCCTTAAAATTGTACCTCAGGCTAATTTTCAAATGCAGTTACGCATCTTGAGTCTCTCCCTTTGCCATCTTCTGTCTAGACCTGCAGATTGGTACAAATTTCGGAAATGGAACATTAAAGATATTTTTAACTAGTGTTAAAAATGTTTTGCCTCCATTTATAGATATGTTCCAAACTGGAAGTGTCTCCCAAGTCTGCAAATCTGGTCATACTGTAATTTTAAAAGAACATTGGCAAGGTTGTTATTACAAGAACTCTTTTTTTATTTTACTATGCAAGACACTGTTATAAACAAACTATTTTCTTTTTATTTCCTTGTTTAAAGAAATTAACAGCAACACCTGTGCAAAGCAACTTAGGAACATATGGGGAAAAGAATGATGATTCAAGAAATGTCTGCATTGAAAAATGCAGAAAAATCATGAAATTAAACTCAGCGTGGTGTATGAGCGAGTGTCAGGTTAAGGCTAGCTATGCAACTATTGTAATTAAATGCAGCTCTCTGGAGTACCCTCTGAAGAGCTGATCCTCCACCAATCTCAAATCTCTTCATGACCGTGATTCTGCACCCCAGGTGCTGAAGCAATGGTTTCCCCTCCCAATTCCTGCTACCTCCTTTGCACCAGCTCCATCACTTGTACAGCTGGGGGAGAAGTTGCTTATGCCGAGTGGGCAGGGAGAACCGGAGGTGAGGGGACGCAAACAAACCCCCCCGTTAGCAGTACCAGTGGTTTCAGCTGACCATGAAGCCAGATCTCAAAGCATGAAGATGGCAGCCTGCACATGTGCTTGTTTAGTTTCTAGCATTGATATCCCAGTGACGTCTGCTAGGAGCAGCGTAAAAACTCACTTCCTATCATGACTGCTATCAAAATGTGGTGGCTAACAATGTACCTTTAGGTAGGATCGTGAAGTCCAGAGATAAAAGTTTCCTTATTCGTCATCCTAGTGATTCAGACTTTGACTTCTATTTTATTTTAAATTACAGAAAATACTTTGATAGTGTCTTTTTAAAGTTCCAGCTGGAAACGCCAGGATTTGAGATTTGCAACTATTCTACAACAGTGAATTTTAAACAGTGTAATTACATTTTGTAGTTGCAGTTGCACAGTGCTGATTCTCCCCAAGAGAGATCCGGACTCTCTTTAAACTAAACCAACACTTAGCAAACAGCAGCATAAAGGTTCTTCTGCATCGGTGTTGTCAAGGCTATGAACATCTAGCCAGCTTTCACTAGCAAAGTGTGCAATTGCAGGAAGAGCTGAGGATAAGATAGAAAGGGATTTGAAAAGCCGTAGGTCACTTGCCAATATATGTTTAAGAGTTTTGTGTCTGTTCACAAAACGTTGTTGATTTTGCAAATATTTAAGTAGTGTGCTTATGGTCTGACTATATGTGGCCTTTTTGCTTCAGTAGAGCTCCTTATTCTCCAAAAGATTAAATGCATACCCAGGTGTTTGCAGAATCAGAGCCTAATATTGCAAAGCCCGTTATCTTTTGTTAAACAATATATTAAGACATTCTTTTTACCATGGCCAAAAAAGTATGTATGGGGTATGCATGTTCGAGCAACTGCCACTGTTTTAGTTGATGTTATAGTGACCCTTCAGCTATCTATGCATTTTTTTATAATACCTAGTGATTCTGTAGGCAGGCAGCCCTGTTCACTATGCCTTGTATGTCTGATGCCATATTTTAAATTAACCTGTTAAATACAGCTTAAAATATTTTTATTTTATTTATTCTATTTTTACTGAAATATCCTGCATTATTATGTTGATGTATTGTCTTTACTGGATGTGCTCTTGTAACATTATCTCCACTCTGTATACTATAGGTTGCCTAAAAAAAGGCAGGCTTTGTAATTATTTGTAGTCACATTTTTATTGAAGTCTGTAGAAAAACCATGTAAAGCAAAGCTAATTTTTTTCAATGCAAGTAGTAAGTTAGAGGTAAGTATCACATGTCAGTCATGTCATTAATATGCTCCCTTGCAGAAGCAAGGCGAGTTATATTCACAATCAACGACTAGAGATAAAAGCCTTTCTTTTGAAATCTGCAGTGCTGGCCATAGGTTTTATTTAAAAAATAAAACCACTTACTATTTCATTTGAAGGGGAGCAAGGGGGTGTGGGAGATACAAGGCTACGGAGGCCACCTACAGGGTGGTTAAACAGGAATAACAAAAAGTGCATGGAAGGGCATAGAATCCATTCACAGTAAAATGAGTTCTTAGTCATATACTTCGTGTGCAGAGTCACCTGTACCTAGTGAAACAACATGCCCTTCGTGACAGAGGAGCAAAAACTATAGAGTATCTATGAGATACGCCAGTTCTGTGTCACTAAGAGTTCTACCTCCTTCTTCTTTTAATTTTACCAAGCATTTCATAGATCATTTAACTAGGGATCTAAAATTGTTAGTAAATCACCCATGGAAAAGAGAACTTTCTTGTTTCAACAGCTAATATGGGCTCAGCCTTTCAGCATTACCGTTAACCCCAATACTCCTTCCTTGGGCAGGTTAATTAATACATTGCTAAAACTTGTGCTGTACAGTCAGCGAAAGCAGGTTTGATTTATTTTAACAGCAGTAAGAAAGAAGGAAACACACCCACTGTTTATTAGCAGAGTTCAGTCTTACATAAAGCACCTGATTGACACCAAAAAGAACAATTTTCCCTGCTGTTGACCACTTCTCCACATTTAAATGTAATCTGTTCCGAGAATAAATTTAGCTGCATAAAATGATTGTCTCAACTGTTACTGGTCCATGAAACTGGGAAATTATTTCTTTTGTTCCAAATTGTGGTTGAGGGGAGGGAAAAACATACTGGTGGTTTAGAGGGAATAGCAGTACAATGGACACTTTTGCATCTGGAAAGCCGAATCAACAGTTTCTAGTTGAAAATTGTAACTACGTTACTGGATTACAGAAAATTAGTTACGTAGGATACAGCTTTACTGTAAAAAGTCATTGAGTGTTTTAACTGAGCATACAGGCTTTTACCTACAAGCCACCTGAAGTCAGCCCCAGATGTTGCCACCGTGTGATGTTCGGTGCTCACGAAGTAAGCTGCTGCCCCACAGAATGAAATTCTTCACGACCAGCTCTTTGATATTCTTGGTAAGACATCAAGATTCTAACTGGTTTAGCCTCCATAACGTTTCAAAGATGCAAACTCCTGAAGGCAAGATGAGGCCGGCTATGGGATATCATGACGCATATTATGTAAGTAGCCCAGAAATTCTGTCATCAGACACGTGTATGTTCTTTTACAAGTAATTTTAATTATATTTAATAATGAATGATACAGATTTTGATTTAAAAAAATAGAGTTTAGTTCTGTAACTGCAGAATCTCTAAGTTTATTTTACGCATTTAACAACCATATTGAAAAAAACCCTCAAAATCTCCTTACTGTCCTTTTCTTTTATCTAACATGTAGAATCTCTCCTCCAAGATGGTTTTGAAATAAAATAGGGAAATTTTTTTTTCCAGTTCTACACATTGCATGTGCACAGGTCTAGATCTATCCTTACAAGTTTATTCAGAAACAAGAGCAGAGTTCATCCTTTTATTGGAACAGGTAAAGAGCACGGGTTACTCACAGGGATATGCAGCAGGTGAGTGATGCCTCTGAATAGGACAGCTGGCTCAGATTAAAATGCTAAAAGAAATTTTCACTGATTCTGTGAAGCAACGATATTTATCTGATGAACAAGAGCCCGCTGTCTACACTGCTAGTGTAGTATCATTCAATCCTTTCTTCTAAAGGTAGTGCTGATCCAGCTACGTTGACTGGTGTGGGTGAGGAAAAAAACAGAGATGTTAAAACATTTTCTCTGGATGGGTCTAAATCCAGACTCAGTTACACATCAAATAGGTTAAGATTCCATACCATATTGTCGACTCTACTGGCAACACTCTTGCCAAGTATCTTAAATGATTGCTTAGAGGAAAACTTCTCTTTTGGGCCACAGCTACCTTTGCTCTGACTAGCAATAGAATTTATAAAAATAACTTACTTTGACAGTAGCAGCTCTTTTCAACTAAGAACTGCTTGTGTTAAGAAAGTTGGTGAAAAGCAGGTATGAGCCATGACATGACATTATGATGACAATTCAGTATTTTTAGCATGAAAATATTTTACCTAGTTTTCATTTTTTATATTTGGAAGCACACCTGAGTAGAAACCAAGGGAGTAAGTACTAGGAAGCCTGTGCATGGGCTTCAGCGTACTTGGCCAGTTGCCTGTACTAAAGCTCACATCTAATTTTAGAAATAAAGGTGAACTAACTGGCTTACTGCGCAAGGCTTACTTTCCATGTGTCACAGTCTAAATGGTAACTCACAAAAATGGTATCTAGTACTTGTAAAGAAAAATAGCCACTTAAAAATGCAATCTCACTTTAAAAAAATCGATTTGAAATTGAGTATTCCTATAGATCTATGCAGGTCATGGGGGTGGGAGGGCATGGAAACGTATGCTTTAACTTGTCACTTTAAAGGGTATAGCAAGCAAGAAGCTATAGTTTTTTGACCTCACTCCCCCCAACGGTCTATCAGCCTTATGCAGCTGAGCTGTATTTACTTTAAAGTGTGATTACCAGTTTAAAATTACTAACGTGGATATTACCAAGCAAATATCCCATAATATATGCCTTTCCCAGAGCAAGATTATCCTGCATAAAGATATACTGTAATCTAAGTATATGGATGAATATATACAGGAATCTTTACCTTTTCTATAAAGGTAGGGCAAAGTTTGAAGATTCTTACAGCCACGGCCGAGGATGGCTAAGCACAGTTGGTTTGACCACTTTAGGCAGAGGTGGTGGAAATATCCTACCACCCGAACCCTTTGCTCCAGTCCAGCCATGAAAGTACCAATGAGTTGATGTCCTGGGTTTGTTTCCTCGTGGACTTCCATATGGTGTTATCACTGGCGGGAAGACAATTTCCACGGGCTTCAATACAACCCTCTTACGTTCTGCACGTGTCTTTCTAGCAAGTGTCTGTCTTTCATACTCCATGTCCATAGGTGACAAATGAGATGTGTGCTTCAGCACTCTAGGCAGAGCTGTGTCTAAAATGGGGTTGATAGATTTCTTCAGCTGAACACACTTGTTTGTTTGGTTCACATTCTTTTTTTGTATGTTACTGACTGCTTTAGACAGGAAAACTTCAGCCTTAGTATTAGATACAGTTTGATGGTGAAGGAACTCCGCAATCTTCGGCTCTAGACCACTACCAGTAATATTACTTCTACACTGTGTTACTTTTGGTCGTTTTTTCTCCTCTTCCTTTGATTTTTCTACAATGCTGTTTAATAGTCCTTTTGCTGCAGCACAAGCCAAAATGTCTTTAACAGACACATTTTTAGAAGAATCTTCCTGAAAATTTTGAAGGAAACAACAATAAATCTTAAGCTACAACACAAAGCTGCAAACGCAGTACTTTAATCCCAGATTCCTCAGAATTTACTCCACGAGAAAACTATGGCAGAATCTAGCAGAAAGGCTTAAGTCACGTGTGATAAATGCTAATGAAACTATTTATTCAAGAAATTGAGAACGTGACTGTTGTGTAAAGAGGTATCTGAGCATTTGCTCTTCAGAGACTTTGCCCTCTACAGGCCTGAAGAGGGGAAACTAAATTCTGGTCTTTGTACTACACGTCTCTGTACATTGACTTGCTCTAATGTGTCTGTAGTAACATGCATATATACATATAAATGTGTGTGTATCAGAAATAGTTACTAAAATACAGAAATACTATCAGTAATGTTAAACATGGATAATTTTCATGGTAATGAAAATCCTTGCTCATAATACATAAGCAAGGAACTCTCAAACTAGATTAACGAGGAACCACATCAACAACCAAATATGTAAAGAGAAGCAATGGGAAAGAAGCTATTTACAACTAACCAAGAAGAGGGTTTCTATAAATTTCAGTTTAAATTATACTTATAAGTACACATTTTCTGCCTTGCAGAAAATGTTCATTTCCAGGATCACCTAAAAATTGGCCATAGGAGCAATTGCTTCTGTGCGTTAGAATTTGACTAAAAAATTATTCAAAACAACTACCTGAAACAAGTGGGTTTTTTTTTTCTGGAGGGAGACAATATGATAGGCAGATGTACACAGCATGATTAACTAAAACTTATTAGCTCAGGGAGCCAGGTTAAAAATATTTTACATTGAAAAGAAAGAGGTCAGTAATAGATAACTTGAAAGGCTTTTCATGTGTGATTCTCTTACTCTAATAAAATCTTCTCTTCTAATTCCCCCCCAAGACACAAACTTCTTTCAAGCACTATAATTGCAGTATGACAGACAGTGCTACAAATAACCAAATAAGATCTCATATCTTTAATTTTTAATGAAATTCTAATTAGCTCCCCCCCCCACCACTCCTCTCTTGGTGAAAAAAGTCCTGCTTTTCTCAGACTCGAGGAAAATGTTGATGCTCAGAGGTGCAAGCTAGCCCTTTAAGGCCTCTCCTCAGGAATCATGCCAAGACTTTTCCATTCACTCAGCAAAAGCGCCGTGCCTTTCAAGCCAGATTGGCATATGCCTTAGTTTTGGAAGGAAACACATTCATCCCTATTTTATTCAAATTATAACGAAGTCTTAATCCCTACGGGTGACACTGTCTGCTTGGATACTGGCAAATCTTGGTGACCCATACAGACATAACAAACAACTTTACTAGACACCATTGATCATGAGTCTAATCAAGTTGTGTATTTAATTCCAAGGTGTGACAGCAACAATATATTTCCATAGATGTTCCTAGCACTGACTTAGATCAAGAAACTGCTCTGATCAGGAACAGCTCCGGAAGAAAAGGCACATACTGGAAAGCTCTGCTCAGCATAAAACTCTAGGAGTTGCACATTTCAACTGCTCACCTATTTTTTGTTCTTAAGACAACTAAAGAACAGCCTTGGAGGAAGGAAGGAAACTTTTTTAAATATTCCATTTCATATATTCTTTTGTGGAAAATGGCAATATTCTTTTTCTGTAAAATGTTTTTAAATGGTAATTTTCTTAGCTTACCTCTCTTGCTAGAATAGCTAGAAAACATCCACTGGAAATTTCTGATGGCTCCATTTTGAAAAAAAATTCAGTGGAAGCCTTTGAATTGGAGGAAGTAGAAAAAACAGGAGGAATAAGCCTGTAAAAAAAAAAACCAAAACAAATGACCAGAAAATAATATTTAAGGATATAAAAGGAAATAAAGGATATATTAAAAGTAATTTCCAAATTATGTCTTTTAATGACAGTCTTATAAAGTCGTATCTTCTTTTTTAAAAAAAAAAAAAGGCAATTCAAGAAAGACATGATAATTCAGCTTTCTGGAATTAATTCTGTTTTTTCCATTTTTCCAATAATTCCTATTTAATTTTTTCCAATAATTAAGTATATTAACCACCAGATAACAAATATGTATGAACATAATTAACAACTATGTTCTTTCTCAGGTCTGCAATTACTGGATTATCAAGTTGTCCATGAAGTTGGGGAATGCTCTGAAAACACTGAGCAGTACACAGAAATTGTAGAGGTGTTGACTTTGAGTTATTAAGTATATGCTCATAATAAATAATATATCTATCTAAGCTAAAAATCTTAGGTTAGAAAAATTTTCTTATTTGAGGTAATTGAGTGCTGTTTTTTCAAATTTAAAGTTTTGCAGTGCATCAGTGAGGAAGGACGAACTAGCCTTTTCTCATGTTCGCCCTGTATTCCAGTAATCCCTAGCTGTTATAAACAGGCCTCAAGGACTTGGCTCGTAAGGCTGCTAAACTAGTACTGAGCTGTTTCAGTACAGAAAAACGCTATCAAAATATCCTTATGCATTTTTTAGCCCCTCCTCTTCACAGTGCTGAGGACTGTAAGATACAGCCCCTCCTCAGTGCTCCATTGATTCCCTTGAGACAGAGCTTTGTTCAAAGATGGTTACGGAGAAATGCATTCAATATTTGTAAGCAATATCCTGACGTGCCTGGCTAGTCCATTTCTAATGGGAAGTCTGCAAAACTGTTTGTTCCCAACTTTTCACCATAATCTGGATTTTTTGTATGTCCCTCAGAACTTTTAACAGACTACAAGGCTCACATCCTCCTTGCATTACTAAATAAAACTCTTATGTCCTATGACACATAGGAGATTTTCGCTTTTAGATCAGGTCATTCAATGCAAAAAAGTTATAATCTTTATTTTGATTGATGTATACAGATTATCGTTACCAGAATCCCTTTAACGGATGGTCTGACCCTGAAAATTGATGCAGAAATTAACTCAAACGTGGTAGGCCAAAGGGAAATATGTGAATGGTTTAGATTCTCCTCTATACACACCTGTTTGCAGGTGAAGGTAAAGCCTTTGCTATAAACCGTTTGTCACATCCTCAAGGTAAGCTCAGCCTAGACAGTGGGTACGTGTTTGAAATCACCTTTACAATTTCACAACCCTAAGACCAGCTGTATGACCCCAAACTCCAGCACACCCGTATTTTGTTCGGCACTATTCCAGCACTGCAGAGTAATTCCAAAAGACATAACACACATAAGCATAACTGGCATAAGAGTTTCCTGAAAGCCCTCAATTTTCTTGCAAAAGGAAATTAAGTAGATCTGTGATGATCACACAGGATGTTTTTATTAGTATAACTTGCCTCTCAAAGACACTGCTGTGAACACAGGGGCTAGTAATTCTGCAACAGAGTTTTTCATTCTGTCCTGCATTCTTTTAGTAAAATAAGTTATCTAATTAATTATAAGGAAAGTGTACAAGGAACTGTTGTAAGTAGTACATGCATCTTAAACGGCTTGAGCTTTCATCTTAAGACAAGCATAATCACACTACATATTTTATATATGGTGTTCTATTACTGCTCCGTTTATGCTGGTTACCAGCAGCTTTATGTAGCAAGAACTATGCATGAAAACATCCAAGATACGTGCATGACAGTGAAGGAGGAACTGATTCTGGAATTGCTGTTTATGAGGTTCAATTAGTCTTCAGTCACAAATTTGCTCAGGTCTGCAAAAATCCTAATGTAATTTTATTCTCCCTTTCTTACCATCTGAGATTGCCTTGTATTTGAAAGTAAAAGTATAATTTGGTGGTTTGACAAGTTTCATGATGTTTCTGCAAAACACTGAATAGATTTTGTTTTGGCTTTGGGGGGAGGGGAGGTGTTTTAGACAAGGGGGAATTTTTTTCTGAAAAAATTAAAGCTCTGGGAAAAAAATCTCAGAATTTTTTTTTAATACAAATTCTATTATACGTATCATGAATTTAGGTATTATTTGTGTTCAAATAATTCAGAGACCACTATGTTCCAAGGTCCCCCTAATTCTCCCCATAGAGTAACAGCTGCATAGAGGTCAAGACATGACAGACTTCACAGAAGTCTTTCAAATCCCTAAAGAAAACACAGTTTACAGCAAGAGTCCATAAATGCTTTTGGACTAGCATAGCATCATTGGCAAGACCTACCCTTATTTCATCCCATTTAGCATAAAATTTAAGGAGGCTGCTCTTTTCTATCGGTGATTTGCAAGAAACATGCACTTTGTTGTACTGTATCTTAACATTATGCGTAACATACCTCTTTTTTAAAATTCTTTGGACTGGCCACAGTTAACATTTACCATTTTAATCATGCAAAATTTAACTACACTGAATGAT